AAGTCGTGGCTGGTCGGTGAAGTCGAAGAAGAAAACAACGCCATAAACATAAACTTGTGGCGCTCCGCGCGGATTTCTTGGATCTGCAGTGGGCCTCCCTGGCGGCGCTTCTGGTGCCGCCCCTGGCGCGCGGAGCGCGCCAGGGACGAGGGGTGTCCAGCGCGGATCCAAGAAATCCGCGCGGAGCGCCAAGAGTTTATTATGTTTATGGCGTGTGTATTCTTTTTCTATGACGGTGATCTCACCGCACAGGGAGTCGATTTGGTCGGGCGGGTCCCTCTGCGACTTGCTTGCAGTACCCAGCCGCACATTTCGGGGAAGCGTCAGACTCGAGTACGCCGGAACTCGGTTCGCCTATGCTTTTTGTTGTCGAGACCGCCCTGGATTTTGACGGTCCGTTGCCCATGGGATGTTTGCAGCGAGAGCTCGCGTCAACTGTCGGGCTGGAACTCGTCATTCTCCTGACAGCCCCTGTCAGGCCAATCCGATTCCCTTTGAGCCCGAACCTCACGTCTCCCCGAACCTTGTTTGGGCAGAGCTGAGCTGAGATCGCGGCACTCAGCGCACGAACTCGTTGCGGATAGGTGGCGGGAGCATCGCAGGGCAACGACATCTATTCGCATCCGCCCTGCCCCTGGCCCGACCCATCCTGGGGCCAGGCGCGGAGTGTGCACCCCCCTGGCTCGGCCAGGGATGCGCAGACGCCGCTCCTGGACCCTGGATGGGTCTGGCCAGGGACAGTGGTCGTGGGAAGATCTCGCCCCCCGACACCGGGCACTGAGCCTCAGGGTGTTCGGCAGGTTGCCAGCCGGCCCGATCTCAGAAGTATGGTGATCAGTCTTCCGCCGCGGCAAGATAACCCTCTCCGAGCAGTTTGTTACCCTCTCGGGCAGCGGCTCTCGGCGGCCAGTGTCGCGGGCAACGGCCCCAGCCTGCGTATTCCCGACGACCGTCTGGCTTGAAGGAGCGATTGCGCCGGAAGAGCTGGCCAGCCAAGGCCTTCCGAGCCGCCCCTCCCACCGTCCCCCTCCCCCTCCCAGGGTGCACCGAGCATTTTCTTTGGGTGGAGGGCAAAGGGTGAAATCTGAAATGCCGTCTTGATTGGTTTTCGAGGCTTGAGTCTGCAAAAGGTAAGTCACAAGACGGATTGTTTTTCGAGGTGCAAAATCCTACATGGATTTCACCCTGAGCCCTCCACCCTGAGAAAATGCTCAGGTGCATGACGACTCGAGGGGGGAGGACTTCCGAGCCGCCCCTCCCGCCGCCCCCCTCCCCCTCCCAGGGTGCATGACGATTCGAGGGGGGAGGACTACTGGGGGACACGGGGACCGGGGAGAGACAACTACGGTGGGGCTGTTGGTCTAGGAACGTGCACGGGAGGCGTCAGACCCTGGAGGGTTCCTCATCTCATGAGGGCGGCGGCAAGATCCCTTGCCGATCCGCGATTGGAGTTCCAGTGGCTTCCGGACCCTCGATGCCTTATCCAATGCTTCCTTCTCCAAGGCCCCCACCGTATTTCTCCGATTCGACATCGGTGTTGGCGGGCCTGCTCTGGCTCGGCTCCGCTGCTCTGCCTGTCGGGTGCGGCCCGGTGCCCGCACGTTGCGTCGTGAGGTGTGCACCCCGGCGCGGCCGGTCCGATGCTCGACCCCGGCCCCGTGCCGCTGCGGCCCGGTGCTTCGTGCATCTCAAGCAGTGGCGAAGCGTCCTGGCTGGCCTGTAGGCCCACCAGGGGATGGTCTGAGAACCTTTTGTTGTGGTCTACACGGAGTGTTCTTAGAACATGTTCGGCCGAGACTGTCTTATTCTAACACGTCGGCTTTCGTTGTTTAAGAACATTTGGGTTTTACGACAATTTCTTGGTAATTAGGCCTATAGGGAATGCTGGGACGGTCGGTCGGTGATCCGATTTGGTCCTCGGGTTCAATATTGACCACTTCTGCTTCCTACCCCCCCCCTCCGCACCGGCTCCCCTTGGCACGGGAAAGCGGATACTGACGGAACCAGTTCCCAGACCGCGGGGCGTTCCTTGGGAACCTGCTTTCATCCCGAGTGGTTTTCTGTTGGCCGTCCCTGGGCCTTGGTGAGGACAGCGGGAGCCCGAAAACTGCGAAACGCCTCCCGGACTCGTTCCCCCCAGGACTCCTTCCCTTCCTCCTCGTCCTCCTCGTCGATCCTCCTCGTCCTCCTCGTCCTCCTCGTCCTCCTCCTCGTCCTCCTCGTCCTCTCTTCCTCGTCTTCCCTTCACGTCGATCTTCCTCCGCCCTCTCCTCGTTCCCGCAATTCCTCCCGCAGGCGGCTCCGGCGGAGGACTTCTCGAAGTGGCCGACCGACAAGCTCAAGGAGAGGCTGAAGGAGCCCGTTTGCCATGGTTCGGAGGGCACCAACTATACACCAACACCGATCCTGGCCAGGATCGGTGTTGGTGTATAGTTGGTGCCTTCCTACGTTTGCCATGGTGGCCGAAAAAGACCGGTTGCCGGAAACGTGCTCGAAGTTGGGGCCGATGACCGGAAAACGCCGTGCGACCGAAATGGTAAGCGAAAGCGTGGGATCGTCTATAGGCTTCGAACCAGGCAGTTCGATCACGCTCGGGCGCGGTTGGGACATTCCGGGCGCCAGCGTCGGTCACACTCGGGCAGGTTTTCGGGCACAGTTTCGGGCACGACGCCTCCTCGCTAGAGTCAGGAGGGAAAGGAACACACAGACACAATTAATCGTCGATTCCCCAGAAAATATGGGAAAATATGGGAAAATATGGGAATTGGGCGGGAAGACAAAAAACCCAGAAAATATGGGAAACTATGGGGACTATTGTTATTTGTGTGTATTTATTTGTGTGTCCTAATTTCCCTTTATAGAGAGGAGGCGACGTGACGTGCGCGGGCGCGCGCCCAGACTCGCGGCGGCTCGGGCCTGCTCGGCCCCTCGGTGGCGAGCGAGGGGGACCGGCGGGGGCGGAGGGGGGGCAGGGTCCCGGCAACAAGGTCTTGGCTCGGTGCTGATCAGGGCAGAGGTGCACAAGGAAAAGGAGAAAGAGGAGGAGGAAGAGGAGGCAGAGGGGGAGGAGTATCTCTCTCTCTCTCTCTCGCTCTCTCTCTCTCTCTTTTTTCTTTTTCTCTCTCTCACACACTTTCCGTTCAAGCTAAATCCAACTGGCTTCTGAAAGGGGCAGGAGGAGGCGTAGGGCGATGTTGAGGTGAGCAGCAGCAGAAGTAGAGGCAGTAGGAGCAGGGGCAGGTGCACCAGCAAGGGCAGGATGTAGGAGCGGAACAGGAGCGGTGGCTGGACGAGGAGGAGAAGGAGGATAAGGAGGAGGAGGAGGAGAAGGAGGAGGAGGAGGTGGATGAGGAGGAGAAAATGTGGAGCTGCTGCCGCAGCCTCAGGAGGAGGAAGAGATCCAGTGCAGGAGGCCGAGCGGCGACCCTATCCATCCGAGTCGGCATCGAGTTCTGCCAGCCCGATCCGATTCGATTCGGGCGATCGCGGCCCGACGCGACACCTGGGCCACCCGCCGGGGCGTGAAGATAACCGCGCTTCGGGCGTCCTTGGCCTGGTCTTCGGAGAGCGGCCTTTCTCCAGGGCGGCAGCGCGAGGGCGCGAGGGAAGCTGTTTGACCTCGCGCCGCGCATCGCGGGTCCCAGGTGCACGAGGTTGGGTGGCCGAGGACACGCCTGCCGAAGGGGCACAAGCTCCACGGCGGCGCTGAGGGGGGAAGCGAGATGAGGGCAGGCCTTTTCAGAAGGCCGCCGGGTCTATCACAAGGCCTGGGGGCGCCCCTGTGGCTTCGGAGGAGTCTCAGGAAGCTCCTCAGAAGGCGCGAGGGCCTCTGAGAAACTCCTCAGAAGGCCTGCCCCCATCTCGATCCCCCCCACGGCACCGTCGCCGTCGACATGCTCGATGCGGACTGATGCTGCCGAGCGGTGGGAGGAGGAGGAGGAGGAGGAGGAGGAGGAGGAGGAGGAGGAGGAGGAGGAGGAGGAGGAGGAGGAGGAGGAGGAGGAGGAAGAGACGGACCCACAACGCCTTACTGAGCAACTCGGGCCCCGGGGGCCGGGCACGACTCCGCTCCTGCGGCGGCGCCCACGCGGCTGGCTGGCAGCTAGCGAACGGCGGGCCCGGGCAGCGCCTGGAGAACAAGGTCTACCTGGACACGGCGCGGGCGCTTCTCTGCCAGGACCTAGCGCCGCCCAACGGCCACTGCAAGAACCGGCTGCGCACGGGCGCGCGCGCCTGGCAGCCTTGCGGCCAGCCACTTGTGCAGCAAGGCGCACCACGCCTTCCGCTGCGCTTTGCGGAGGGGGCACGAAGGCGCGCAGCCGGGGTGTCGAAGACGTCTTGGAGCGCATTCACGCAGCGTGCGGCTTCCACACGCCGCGCTAGGTCCACGCCCCAGCCTGGGACCGCTGGCGCTGGACATGCACCTCACCCGGCTGCGCGGCGCGCGGCCGCGCCGACGCCCCGCCTGCGGGGCCCTGCCAGGACTGCGGGGCCCCGTTGCTGGCTCGCCGCGAAGAGGCGCTGCTCGACATGCAGGCGCAAAGGGCAGGCCGCCCGAAACTGCTAGCGGACGCGACTGTCACGTACAGCGTGCCGGGCGCAGGCGACGCCCTGGCCGCAGCCGCAGGCGCGGACGCCGCCGTGGCGCAGGAGGGGGAGCGCGACAAGAGACGTAGCTACCCCGCCGGCCGCGCCCCCTGGCGGGTGCTGCCGCTGAGCCTGGAGACGGCTGGGCGCCGCGGTTCAGCGGCGCTGAAGCACCTGCGCTTGCTCGCGCGCGGCCGCGCCCAGCTGCTCGGCGACGGGGCGGCGGCCGACGCCGCGGCCAGCGCCCTCGGCGCGCTGGGGCGCGGAGTTCAGCACAGCGCTGCACCGCGCCGCAGCGCGCCAGCTCCGCACCGCCCCCGGGCGCGAGGCCGCGCTGGCCGACGAGCTGGCGCGCTAGGCGCGTTGGCGGGGGCGCCCTGGGTTGGCGGCCGCGGCGGCTGGCGGTCGTCGCGATGCTGGAGGCGCTCAGTGTCCGGGTGCGCGGGCGTCCGACGGACCGCGCCGGCGCTCGCAGGAGGAGGAGGGGGGGGAGGAGGGGGAGGAGGAGGAGGGGGGGGGCAGGAGGAGGAGGAGGAGGAGGAGGAGGAGGAGGAGGAGGAGGAGGAGGAGGAGGAGGAGGAGGAGGAGGAGGAGGAGGAGGAGGAGGAGGAGGGGAGGGGACAAGGCGGGCACCAACGCGGAGCCCTGTCCCGTGTGCACGGCGGGGTGGACGCCACGACCGACGGCGCCACGGCGCTGCGCGCGCCGCCCCCGCACTTCCCGGCGCGCATGGCCGCCGCCAGCGGGCGCGCGGCGCAGCGCCGATCGCGCGCTGGTCGTCGGCGCGCGGCGCGATGCTCGCCCGACGCTGTTTCGACATTTTTCTGGGTGCTCGAAGTTGTTTCTGGGATGTGGCCCTTCAGTACGACGGGGGCAACATCAGTCTAGAGCCGGCTCGGGACGAGGAGCTGGTCTTGCTGCGGCGAGGGCCCCGGGGTCCAGGGCCCGCTTGGTCAGATCGCGCGCTGGCCGTCGTGTGTGCGCCGCGGCATACATTCGCGCCGAGGTATACGATCGAGGTCGATTCGAGGGAGGTGCCCTCGCGTCCTGGGGAGGCTCCCCTAGGATATTCTGTCTGTCTTGGCCGGCGGAGGGCCTCATGTTCTTGCGGGGTGCTCATCTGGCCAAGGTCCGACTCTACGGCGCCGGCGCGCACGGCGCCCTCCAAGGCGCAGGGCCTGCGCTGGCGCCGTGCCGCTCGGCTCGGCGCGCTGTGGCCGCCGGGCCCGAGCCAGCGGCGCGCTGCCGTGTGCTCGCTGGCGCGTGTCGTCGGGCCGACAGCCGGCCGCCCTCGCGGAGGCGGCGTGGCGCCGACGACGGCGGCGGGGCGCGCTGGAGCCCGCGCACGGTGGCCACGGTGGCGGAGCGTGGCCCCCGTGGAGGCGGCGTGATGCCGACGACGCGAGCGCGGCGGCGCAGAGTTCGGGCGCGACTTTCGCTGCAGGCGAGCGCTGGCAACATGGCGGGGGAGCTGCTCCCAGCTGCTGGCGGGAGGGTTGGCGCCCACGATCATGTCAGTGGGGTCGCCGAAGAAGGAACCGCTTTCGTTGGGGAGGGGCCCGGTGCTCCTTAATTGTTCGACGGTTGTTCTTAGGGTTCTCCTTCGGTCTTCTAAGAGAAATCTGAGTTTAACTTATGGGAAAAAAGAAGAGACCTCGTTCCTCATCCGGGGCTCCTTGGGACAACGTTTCGAATGTACGTACCCTGTCGGGGGACGGAACGCTTCAGCATGCAGCAGCAGCAGCAGCAGCAGCAGCAGCAGCAGCAGCAGCAGCAGCAGCAGCAGCAGCGGCCCGCTCCCGAGCGCCAACACCGCGCCCCAAGGCCCCCTGTGGCCGCGAACTGGCCTCTCGAGCGGAGCACGGAGTTGCAGCAGAGGCGGAAAGGGGCGGGAGGAACGGGAGGTGGACGCGGGAGGGGGGCACCTCCGCGCGTCTCGTTCCTTGGCCCTTTCCCGCTGTTGCGCTGCTCCTCTAGTCTTCACGCGGTGGCGAAGCGTCCTGGCTCGCCTATAGCCCTACCAAACAATGTTCTAACATTCTTTTGTGGTTTCCACGAAATGTTCTTGGAAACTTTCTGGCTGGGGCTGTCTCGTCTTAACACATAAGGCTGAAGTTCTAAGAACATTGTTCTTGTTCTTAGAACATTCCTGGGTTCTAAGAACACGTCGAGGTATGACTATAGGAATGCCGGGACGGTCGGTGCCTGCTCAAAACCTCCTCTCTGCGCGGCAGCAAGTCGAGCTACCAGGAGCTCGGCGGGACGACCACCGGCGCGAAGCAGGTGCTGGTGGACCGCCTGAAGGCTTCCCATTGCCCTGCACCCCCCCTGGGAAGCCGCGGCGCCGTTCATCGCCAAGGTCCCCGACCGGCCGCAGTCACTCGAGACCGCGTTCACAGATTCACGAAAGGGGTGGCAGGGTTTTCCGAGCGACGCTCAAAGAGTGCTGCAGATCGCCCCGTTCTGCTCGAGTGCGGTGGGCGACAGCCAGAAGCTTCTTGCGCGTTTTTTTGTTGGTATATCTCTCTATATCTATACGGTATACGTATCCATACATATATGTGTATATATACATATAAATGTATATACATACATGTCTCTCTGCCGCGTCTCGTTCTACATGTGTCGTACCTCCCTCTCTCTCTCTCTCTTCCTATGTTTGGTCTCTTTCTCTCCCTCTCTCTCTGTCACTCCTCTTTCTGCGTTTCTCCATCCCCCTTGTTTCTCTCTTCCTTCTCCCCCCTCTCCCGCTCCCTCTCCCTCCCTCTCTCTCTCTTTATCTTCCTTCCCTCTCACCTCTTTCGACCACCCTATGAGAGTGAGAGGGTATCAAGATCTCGCCCGATCTCTCGAAGGTCACTCAGCCTGCGTCCAGGGCGAGGAGACACGCAGCTGCGCCCGAAGCGGCTGACAGTCGTCCTCCCCTGCCCCCCCACTCCTCCTCCTTCTCCTCCCCTTCCTTCTCCTCCTCCTCCTCCCCATTTTCCTCCTCCTCCTCCTCCTCCTCCCCTCCTTCCGCCACGCTCCTCCCCTGCCTCCATCCATGCTCATTCGAATTAACTTCACCCTGTCGCACCCCGAGACATGTTGGTAGGGCGGACCGGGCGTTTCGCTTCAGACATCTTCACCATCTCTGATCTTGCAGTTGAGCTGTTGCAGCAGTTTCACGGATGGACGGCGGAATGTTCTCAAAAGTTGGTTCTCGCCCCAGCGCCGAGCACATTCGTTTGTAACGTGTTGCAGAAGTTTCGCAGACGGAGAGCGGGTCATTTTCGCAATGTGGTTCTCGCACATTCGTCTGGGAAATTTGCAATGGTCTCAAGGGTGGGCGGCTCCTTATTTAGATGTGGTTTTCGCATCAGCGCCGCGCGCATTCTCAGTACAAGCGCGCAGCAGTTGCAAGGGTTTTTCTTGTTGCTGTCCCAGACATGGTGTTTTTGCAAGATTCAAGGTCGTGATATCGCAACAGTGATATCGATTTCGGCTTTGAAATCTCAGGGAGAGTGCGCTGGTACCGTTCAGGATCGTCAGTCGGTTGTCTTCCCACAGGGCATTTCTTTCTGTGAAAATGAATCCTTGTAGAGGCCCGTGAGCAGGGAATTTGGTGGGAGAGTTTTATTGCGACACCGTTGATGTTTTTTTGTTTTGAACTGGTCCTGCTGCTCCTCTTCCTCCTCAGCTTCATACTCCTCCTCGTCCATCCCTTTTCTTTATTACTAGGCGCGCCGGTAGGGCGGTCAGGGCGTCTCGACTGAGACATCCCCACCATCTTTGGTCCTTAAGCTGAGATGCTGCAACAGTTTCACGGATAGAAGGCGGATGGCTTGTGAAAATGGTTTTCGCCCCAGTGCCGAGCATATTCGTTTTAAAAGTTTGCAGAAGTTTCACGGATGGAGGGCGGGTAGTTTCGAACATGTGTCTCTCGCCGTAGCGCCGCGCGCATTCTTTCTATAAGTTTGCAAGCGTTTCAAGGGTGGGGGGCGGTTTCTTATTCAGATGTGGCTCTCGCATTAGCGCCGCGGGCATTCTTATCAAGATCTCATGTCTTTCTTATGGCTGGCGTCCCAGCATGGCGTCCTGGCACGATTCAGGATCGCGAGGGCGCAAAAGTGACGTCGATTCGCTGCGTTGAAATCCCCGGGGCGATGCTTTGGCACGGCTCCGGATTGTCAGCTGGTTGTCTTCCAACGGGGCATTTCATTTAGTGAAAGTGGACCCTTGCAGGGGCCTGCGAAGATGAAATTCGAAGGGTGGGTTTATTGCATTGCCGTTGATGAGTCTTTGTTTGCACTGGTCCCTTTTTTCCTCCTCTTTTTCTCCCCCGATCTTGTTCCTTCTAGATAACTTCCCCCTGTCGCACCCCGAGGCGTGTTGGTAGGGCTGGCCGTGCGTCTCGCTTGGGACGTGTTCACCATCTATGGTCCTTAAACGGAGATGTTGCGACAGCGTCACAGATGAAGGTTTGGTCGTTTTCCAAATGTGGTTCCCATGTTAGCGCCGAGCACATTCGTTTTAAAAGCCCTTAAGAGCTGAACGGATAGAGGGTGGGTCGTTTTCATAATGTGGCTCTCGCCTTGGCTCCGCGCACATTCTTCTTAGAAATTCGCCTGGGTTTCAAGGATGATGGAGAACTCCTTGTTTTATGTGTGGTTCTTGCGTTGGCGCCATGCACATTCCTCCTGGCATCTCAAAGCATCTTCAAGGATTGTTTTGGTGGGCGTCCCAGCAATGGTGTTTGGCGCGTTTCAGAGTCGCTGTGTTGAACTCCCAGGGGTTGTGTGTTGGCACGGTTCCAGATTTTCTGGCTGTTGTTCTTCAACGGGGCGCTTCCTCTGGAGAAAGTGAACCCTTGTCGGGACCTATGAAAAAGGGAACTCAGAAGGAGGGTTGATTGCAACATCGTTGATGGTCGTGAGTTCACACCAATCTTGCTTCTTCTCCTCCTCCTCTGGCATCCCTCTTCCTTATAGATAACTGTTCCCTGTCGCACCCCGAGGCGTGTTGGTGGGGCTGGCCGTGCGTCTCGCTTGAGACTCCTTCACTCTATGAGATCCTTGAGCTGAAATTCTGCAACAGCCTCGCGGGCGGACGTCTGGTTGTTTGACAAATGTGGCTCGGGCATTGGCTGCGGCCACATTCGCATCACATGTGTTGCCAGCGCTTCACGGATGGAGGGCGGGCCGTTTTCAGTGCGGTTCTCGGCTTAGCGCCTCGCATATTCGTGGTGGAAGTTTGCAAGGGTTTCCAGGATGGGGGGCGGCTCCATTTCAAGGTGTGGCTCCCGCCTTCACGCCGCGCAAGTTCCTCATAAGAGTTCGCAGCAGTTTCACGGACTCTTGTGGTGAACGTCCCAGACATGGTGTTTTGGCACGGTTCAGGACAGCGAGGACGCAACAGTGACGATGATTCGTGGCGTTGAAATCCCGGGGGTTGTTTTTTTGGCGCGGTTCTCGGATGTTCAGCCGGTTGTTCTTGTAACGGGGCCCGTCCTTCAGTGAAAGTGAGCCTTTGCAGGGTCCCATGAAACAGGGAGGGAGGGTTCTATCGAATATCGTTGATGGATTTTGGGTCTACAGAGGTCCTGTGCTCTTGCTCCTCCTCCTCCTCTTCCATCCCTGTTCCTTATAAGTAATTCCTGCTTGTCGCACCCCAGACCATGTCTCTCTAAGGCCGTCTGGGCGTTTCGCCTGAGACGTCATCACCATCTACGAGCATGCAGCCGACAGCTTGCAACAGCTTCACGGACGGAGAGCGCATGGTTTTCAAAATGTGGCCCTCGCCCGAGCGCGGAACACTTCTGCTTCCATGTTTGAAAATTACGCTACCGAGGAACCCCACATACTTAACTTAAGTCTTGTGTGTTTGCTTAAGTTTATAATATATGCGCAATTCTGCGTTCTCAGCCCTCGTCGCGAATGTTCCCCTATGTGTCATCCAACGCCATATTGCTTGAACCTCCTCCCTCTTCCTAGCCTTCTATCCTCCGTCGAGGACAGATTCGAGCCAGCCAGCGGCCGCGGTGAGGGACCACCCCCTGCGCACCCTCGATGGTGTCGAGAAAGTGCCACGCCTGCTATGCCCTGGACGACCGTCGTGCGTAGCGGCCGCGGTGAGGGACCACCCCCTGCGCAGCCTCTATGGTGTCGAGAAAATGCCGCGCCTGCTATGCCCTGGACGACCGTCGTGCATAGCAGCCGCGGTGAGGGACCACCCCCTGCGCACCCTCTATGACGTCGAGAAAGTGCCACGCCTGCTATTCCCTGGACGACCGTCGTGCATAGCGGCCGCGCTGAGGGACCACCCTCTGCGCACCTCCTGTGGTGCCGAGAAAGTGCCACTCCTGACACGATCTGCGAGCGTGTCACGGATAGAGGCCGCGCTGAGGGACCACCCTCTGCGCACCCCCTGTGGTGTCGAGAAAGTGCCACTCCTGCCAAGATCTGCGAGCGTGTCACGGATAGAGGCCGCGCTGAGGGACCACCTTCTGCGCACCCCCTGTGGTGTCGAGCAAGTGCCACTCCTGCCACGATCTGCGAGCGTGTCACGGATAGAGGCCGCGCTGAGGGATCACCACCCTCTGCGCACCCCCTGCGGTGTCGAGAAAGTGCCATTCCTGCCACGATCTGCGAGCGTGTCACGGATAGAGGCCGCGCTGAGGGACACCACCCTCTGCGCCCCCCTTGTGGCGTCGAGAAAGTGCCACGCCTGCCGCGCCCTGCGAGCGTGTCACGGATAGAGGCCGCGCTGAGAGACCACCCTCTGCGCACCCCCATTTGGTGTCGAGAAAGTGCCACTCCTGACACGATCTGCGAGCGTGTCACGGATAGAAGCCGCACTGAGGGACCACCACCCTCTGCGCACCCCCTGTGGTGTCGAGAATGTGCCGCGCCTGCCACGCCCTGCGAGCGTGTCACGGATAGAGGCCCCGCTGAGGGACCACCCTCTGCGCACCCCCTGTGGCGTCGAGAAAGTGCCGCGCTTGCCACGCTCTGCGAGCGTGTCACGGATAGAGGCCGCGGTGAGAGACCACCCCCTGCGCACCCCCATGTGATGTCGAGAATGTGCCACGCCTGCCACGCCCTGCGAGCGTGTCACGGATAGAGGCCCCGCTGAGGGACCACCCTTTGCGCCCCCCCAGCGGTGTCGAGAAAGTGCCGCGCCTGCCACGCCCTGCGAGCGTGTCACGGGTAGAGGCCCCGCTGAGGGACCACCCTCTGCGCACCCCCTATGGTGTCGAGGAAGTGCCTTGCCTGCTCGCCTGCCGCATGGCTTGCCGTGTGTATGTGTATGATGCGTGTGCGGCCATATCGGGACATATCTCACGTGTTGCCCAGTATGTTGTGCAGACGTCTTGGGTGTATGATGCAGTGAACATGCGTCTTGTGTGTGCGAATGTGTGCATGCGTGCGGCTGTGTGCGAGTGTGTGGGTGAGGAGGCGGGAGGTGTGTGAGACGCGGGTGCGGCGCGGCAGGGAAGAAAACCAGAACCCCACGACGAAGCATGTGGGGAAAAAGTCTGCAATGGAGATTTCCAGACCGCTTGCGATCTTCAAGTTGGCCCTCCTCTCTCTTCCATCCGTTCACGACGAGCGGGCGGCCTCCTTCCCGTCCTCGAGGACCTCGTCCTGGCTCCTCATCATCATACTATTCCTCCTCATCCTTCTCCGCTCCCCATACTTAGACACTCCTGTCCAAGATACCGTGTCCTTGGACTCGCTGATCCTGATGCTGGTCTCCTAAAGTATTGCGTGCTTCCTGGTCTACCCAGTCGAACATCAGCCAACCATGTCGTCTCTAGCTGCTTGTTGACCCAACAGTCTGGCCCAGTTGCTTCCCCTGGCTGGGGGTTTGTTTGACTGGGTTGTGTGGCTTGACCCCGGCGCGGCCGTCCCCTCTTTTGCCTCTCCTATATGTTATTCGGCTTACCTGTTCGGAGGCAGGCCACCCTAGCCCTAGTCGTCGCTGTAGTCGTCGTCGTCTTCGTCCTCCTCCTCCTCCTCCTCCTCCCTCTCCTCCTCCTCCTCCTCCTCCTCCTCCTCCTCCTCCTCCTCCTCCTCCTCCTCCTCCTCCTCCTCCTCCTCCTCCTCCTCCTCCTCCTCCTCCCATGAGGGGCGACTGGGCACGCTCGGCCTCCTCCCATTGGGACGGCGACGGCGAGCGCGACGGCGACGTCGGCGAAGACCACGGCTGGCCTCCGCCCCCCCCCCTGCCTGGCAGGCGCTGGCGGAGGCCCGGAGCGGGCCCTCGGGGCCCGCCCCTGCCCCGCCCAAGCGCGCCGCGGCGCCGCCGCCGGCAGCGGCCGAGCCCGCGCCGAAGCGCGGCAAGGCCGCGCGACGACGCCGAAGAGGGGGGCGTCGGAGGGCACCAATTATACACCAACACCGATCCTGGCCAGGATCACCCTGGGCCCAGGATCGGTGTATACGCCCTCCTGCCTAGGGCAGGAAGGCATATACACCGATCCTGGGCCCAGGATTGGCCTGGCCAAGATCGGTGTAGGTGTATAGTTGGTGCCCTCCCCGGGGGGCGGCGACGACGACCGCGGCCGTGGCGGCGGCGACGGCCGCGGCGGCGACGGCGAGTGTGGCGCCGACGGCGCCGAGGGCGACGGCGGCGAAAGCGAGGACGAGAAGGAGAGGGAGGATGAGGGCGGACGGGAGGAGGGAGGGCGGGATGAGGAGGGGGGCGGGGCTGGCCGCTAGAGTGCGGCTCCTGCTCTGGAGGGGAGGCGGGGGAAGCGGGGTAAGGTTAAGTCGGGCATGTCCCTCTACAGGAGGCATATTTTTAGAACAGTAAAAAGTAGTATGGGGACGATGTGTTATGATTGCTTGTTTATGTTTGAATACTTGTGTTGACTGTTTTTTACTTCTTGCCCAACATCCCAAGGGTAGGGTCAGAGTGGGATGTGGGGGATGGGGAGGCGGGGGAGGGCTTGATACAGCTCTGGCGGTTTCGGTGCAGTCCGTTTGCCAACGCTCCTGTGCTGTGGAGTCCCAGTCTGGAGTCCGCAGCGCCGCTTGATGCCGCGGGTGCTGGTCTCGGCACGCGGTCATCACCTGTGGCGCACGGGCCCCTGTGTCCGGTGTGCGCGCTGCTACCGCCAAACCCCAGACGAGACTGGCGGGCCTGCAGCGCGCGCATCTGGGCCGTGCGTTGCAGGGTCGGTACATCGATCGCCACATTGCGAGCTGGCCTCGCGACGAGGGCACGTCGCGACGCCCCGCCCGTTTGTGCCGCCGCGTCAATCACTCTGCAGGCGTGGGACACGTGGGGTACCGGGGATGGCCGGGTGTAGGCTGGGGGGCGTCCGCTCGCACATCGAAGCCCTGCCGCATCATTTGTGGCGCACCTTTTCCTCCTCCTCCTCCTCCTCAACCTCCTCCTCCTCCTTATTCTCCTTCTCCTCCTCCTTGTCTTCGTCCTCCTCCTCCGCCTTCGCCTCCTCCTTCCTCCTCCTCCTCCTCCTGTCTGCTTCTGCAGTCTGCATGTCCACATCGGAGCACTCCTCACTGTCTCCCCCACGAGGAGCAGTGGGCGTGGGGAAGTGCCGCCCCGCGCACGTGTCGACAGACCCCTCACTCGGATCGTGCCCCTCAGGGAGCTCCACCTACGGCACCCGTGGGCAGGTTCGCATGGCGCCCCGCCGCTCGTGTTCGCGCACGGGTCTTGCCCCACAGGGAGCTCCACCCACGGCACTGGTGGGCGCGTTCGCGTTCGCGTCGATGAGCACCAATTCAGCACCCTCTCGGCAGGGTATCCAGCGCGCCTCCGCGTGCATGATCCGCAGGCCCATATCCGCACCGCCCCGCGGCCCCGAAGTGTCTGGCTGATGGTGAACGGCACGCCTTGCGCCACGCGCAGCAGAATGTGGTTGGGGTCACCGCCAAGCTATTCCCGCGCTTCTCTATCTATCCAGGTGGCTTGCGCCATTCCGCCGTCCCCCAGAGGAGACACGAAGTCCACGAGTGAGGATTTGTTTTTTGTGAACCATTTGAAAGGGGCCCATTGGGGCATCTTGGGGGCCTCTTAGAGCCTCATAGGGGGTCTGTTGGGCGCCAGCTGGCGGTCTAGGGGGTCCTCTTGGGGCGGAGGGCTCGAAATATCAGTTCGAGTTCCACCTCTTGGACCCCTCTTGGGGCTCTTTGGGAGCCCTCTTGGGCCGTCTTGGGCCTCTCTTCGGCCGTTCTTGGGCTCTCTTATGCCGTCATGGGGCCCTCTTAGGGACCTCTTGCGCCGCCCTGGAGCGATCTTGGGGATCTCTTGGGCCGCTTCGGCGCTATCGAAACCACAAGGATGAACATGCTACAAATGTGCGCGTATCGTCGGGTTTGGGCGATTTGGGCATCTTGGGGCCCTCTTGAGGGTAGTATTGGAGTTCCCTGGGGGCGTTTTGGAGGCTTCTATCCTGAGGCCTCGGTTGCTTTTGGGGCCTCCCTGGCGTGCTGGAGCCCAGCTTGAGCAAGCTCAGACGGAATCTTGGGCACGTTGGAGGCCACGGTTTGGAAACGAGGGCCCCGAAGGCCCCATGGTAGCGTTGAGCGGCCAGGTGGCCCCCGCCCGGGGCCCCCCTCACGCCCTCACGCCCCCCCCTAATCTCGACTAGACGTAAGAGTGACCTTTCGCCGGAGTGACCTTTGGTGCGGGCACATATGGGCCCCCAGATGGCTGAAAACGAGGCAGAAGCAGCGGCTTGCGCGCCCAGGTTTGGTCCCCCGCGGCCCCCCAAACAGCCGCGCACCAAAGGTCACTCCTACCCAGGGTCACTCTTGCGTGTAGCCGATCATCGGATTCCAGACCCTAGGGGAGAAGTCGGGGGTGGACAGAACCCCCAACGGTGACACGTCGATTAGTGAATTGTCCGTTTTCGGTTCTCGAGAGGGCGCCGTGGCCGTTATTTTCCAGGCTTGCGCCCGCCAGGTTTGGGCCTCAGGTCGTTTTCACTAAACCACGTTTTACTAAAGGGGGGCATGTCCATCCCCGAAGAAGGAACGGGGGAGGACGGCCAATCATGCCACACGCACCCACACCCTCGGCCAGCGGGGGGCTTGGCGGACTTGCACGAAGCCTGTTGTCATGGCTTGCCCTTCTCCTCTCCACCCTCTTCCTCACACTGCACGGGCCTTGCCTCTGTGTTGGAGCGTCTGGACTTGCCTCGGCTCAGCATCACCTCTGTACCGTTCCTGCTCTCTTTGGTCCCCGGAGAGAGAGACTTGGGAGAAGGATGAGGAGTAGGGGCGGTAATCTTCCCCCCTCTCTTCGCCCTGTAGTATATCGTCATTACCCCTTTTCTTCCTCGCTTGGCATCGGTAGAGATCACCCCACCGCCGTCGTCGACCTCATCCTCGTTCTGCTGGTCACCACTACCCTCGTCATCGTTCGCATCATCAGCAGTTCCTCTTGAACCCTTGGCTCAAGCTAGGCGGCTCAATGCCGAGGATCGTTCACCAGCGGCACTGTGATTAACTATTTGGGTTGACGCCACACCCGCAGACCTTTTGATGTTGGAGACACAGCTAAGCTCGCTCCGCCTGCGCTGATGCAGGAAAGAAGGACCATGGGAGGAGAAGAATTATAAGGACGAGGGGGAGAGGAAGAACTGGAGACCAGGAGGAGACGAGGAGAAGAAGTATGAGGACGACGAGGAGACGAGGATAAGAGAGAAGAAATGGGAGGGCGAGGAGGAGGAGGGGACGAGGAGGACGAAGAGGATGAGCAACTGGAGGAGGAGACGGGAGATAGAGAGAGGGGGGCGGAGGGAAGGGTTTCTAATTACCCTTCGGGTCCTCGCGACCTCCTTTGGCAGTATAATCTCTCTTGGGCTCCAGGGGCCTTCTTGGGCCATCTTTAGGGCCACTGAAGGCTGGGGCCTTCTTCGGGCCCTCTTGGGCCATCTTGGGAAATTCTTGCGCACTCCCCGGGCACTTGTAGGCCAGAAAAGGTTTGGAAGCGAGGGCATGCAAACACCTGCGGCGATACGATCAGTTTGGGCACCGTCGAGTCCGCTTCATGGGGCTTCCTGCGTCGTTCTGGAGGCCTCGTGGACCGTCCTGGCAGCCTTTCGTGGGGCGTCCCGGGCGCTATCTTGGCGCCCTCTCGGACCGCTACGGGCAGATCTTGTGTGCCCGCGGGTTCCCGCGCACTCCACGGAGCCCGCTCGGACCGGCCCGCGCGCAGAGCGTGTGAGCACCTGCCCCCCGAGGGGAGGCGTCCTGGAGAGAGGCAGGCATCCCACTCGGGCCGAAGGAAAGGGGGGGATAGGGAAAAGGGGGGGTTAGGAGATCTGCTGCATGCAGCTGGTTTCGGCCCCGCCGCCGGGCTCATTCCTCGATGCATGGGCGCCTCCTGGCGCCGGGAGGCGCTGGTAAAATCAGCTGCGTGAGCCGATTCCCTGCCCTACCCTTTGCTATCCCCCCCCTTCGTTCCCCCCGACCCACGCTGGTGCCCGAGGGGTCGGCGAATGGACCACAGCAGCAGGGAGCCGCTCGATGCACCGGCGCCCTCGCCGTGTCTGTGAGTGGCGCGGGTGCTGTGGCTCGGGGTCTTTATTCGGGGTCTCTCGTCGAGGACCCCAGCGGGGAAGCAAAAGTTATAATGATGGCTGGGCTCGACCGCTGACTCCGTGCCAAAAAAACAGCGCCTCAGTTGGTGCTCGCTGTCTACGGAGAGGTATCGGCTTTCCTTTCTTTATTCCGCCGCGCATGCCTTTCTGAAGCCTTTCCTGGCTGGGCCGCGAGAGGAGCACGGGCTGTTCGCTGGGACTCGGGTGCGGTTCAAGACAGTGATTGGTCTCTCTTTCAGCTTTTCGGTTACACGGCTTGAAAGTTTGCCAGCGTGTAATACGCGGCCGAAGACAATAACGTTCTGCTTCTGATGTGCCACATGACCTTCGCGCTATTCACCCTGATACTTTAGGGGCTCCTGCCGTGGGACTGGAAGGTTCTAGCAATGTTCCTGAATGGCCTGCCACTCGGAGTGCTCTGGGGGCTCGTGGTGTCCTTCCTCGAGGGCAGGCGCACGAGCGACTACGTGCTCTGCGGCCTCTGCTCTGCGCTCATCGATCGCAGCGGCGCCGTGAAGCACTGGGCGCTCCGGGTCCTGCAGACGGGCGTCCGAGAGGCACGGATGCCGGCAGTGGTGGCAGCCTTGCTCTGCCTGGTCTTCACCCTGTGCGTGTGGCTCCCCTTGCAGATGCCCTCGCCCACGGTGGAGAACGTCGCCTCCTGAAGCGAGCGGAGGGCCATGGACGGCACAGACCGCGTTATACATGTTAGGAGCCAGTGTGTTGGTTTGGCCATGCTGTGGCTTGGAGTGATTGTCCTGAGTGCATACAGGCATTTCCGCGATACAGTCGGGGCCCTGAAGAAGGAACCCTTTTCGTTGGGAAGGGGCTCCGCGTTCCGTAAGTGTTTCGCAGCTTGCCTCAGGCTGTCCTTATGTTTTCGACAGGAAATCGAAGGTTAACTTATGGAAAAAAAAGGCCTCGTTCCTTATTTAGGGTTCCTTAGGTCAACGCCCCGACTGTATGAGCCAATGTGTTGGTTTGGCCATGCTGTGGCTTGGAGTGGTTGTCCTGAGTGCATACAGGCATACCCGCGATGCCTTCCAGAAGAGCTCTTCGAAGCTCTGTTGGGCAGCCGCCCCGATCCTGGAGTGTTCTTTAGGAGTGAACTCGTTGTGGGTGTCCAGTCCTGGTCGTTGTAGGGATGCTGGGTCTGTTTAGGGATCCCAACGTGTCCAGCCAGGTGTCGATTGTCGGTTCAGTTGTGTTGTTCTACTCCGCCGCGTGTTTCTCGGCAGATCCGGATATGAACGCTCACCTCTATGTATACAGCTGCCTGCGGCAAGCCTCGCAACCGTGCCTGCGCAACAGCTTAGCAGGACGGAGTTTGAACTTATCTGCAGCCTCGCTTTCCTTGTTATTCGTCATATTTCCTCTTTGTCCTCGTCTCCTTTGTGTTGTTTTATTTATTTCTCTCTTTCTCTCTCTCTCTCTCTCTCGTTTTTGTTGCTTTCTTTCCCGCTCTCTCTCTCTCTCTCTCTCGCTTTCTCGCTTTCTCTCTCCTCCTTCAATGCGTATTTGAGGCTCCTCTGGAGCTTGTTGAGGGTCACTTAGAGCTGTCAGGGGGGCATTTGGTGATCTGCTGGGGGTCTCTTGGAGGCCTTTCGGGGGCATCTTGGGGGCCTCTCAGGGCCTCTCGGGGACGTCTTGGGGGCATCCAGGGGCCTCTGGGGGGTATGCTGGGGGTCGTGGAGGCACTCTTGGAGGGAGAGGCTCTCGGGGCCAGCTCGATCTCCCCCTCTTGAACACCATCTTGGGGCCTGCTTGGGGCTCCTTGCGCCGTCTGGGGAACCTTTTGGGTCGTCCTGGGGCCTCCTGGGCCGCCTTGGGACCCCCTCAGGCCGTCTTGGAGCCCTCCTGGGCTGACTTAGGGTCCTTTGGCGGCCCTCTTGAGTTGTTTGGGAGCCTTCGTTTTGAACCGACTCGGGCTGCCAGAGGCCCGATACGGCCAGCATGCATAAACCATACAAGCCCCTGAGAGACAATTCATTGATCTTGCCTCTCGGGAGCCCTTTTGGAACGTTTTGGATCCCTCTTGGGCAGTCGTGAGGCCGTTCTGGGCAATCGTGGTGCCGCTTGCACCGTCTCGAGGCCATCCTGAGTTGTCTTGGGCCTTTCCTGAGGGTATGTTGTGTCGTCTTGTGGTGAGCTTGGCTGTCTTGGGGACGTTTTGGAGGTATTGGAGCCATCTTGAGGCCGACAAGAGAGCCGGAGAGGTCATTCTAGGGGGGAGCTCACAGGATGATCGCTGAGAGGGGGCGGCGGCTTCAGAAAACAGTAAGGAACCCTTCCCAGGCAAAAGAGGAGCATTCTAACACGCCCACTTCGTGCAGGCACGTGGATGGATGATCCTCCCTGGCATCGGAAGTTATTTGAGCTACGTCCCGTACAATTCCGTCCTATTCGAGCGGTTGATCGTCTATACTCTTGCGGAAGCTACCGTGTAATTTCCTACGTTTGCGAGCCACACCCTTGGATATTGGGGTACGTTTGCTGTCTATGGTGCTAATCCGCTCGGTCCAAAAGATATGCATGTCGTGCACTCTTCCAATTGGCTTGAGCTGCGTCACTTTTTTGTTAGGCCTCGCCGCGTACGCAATGGCATATGGTTATCAGTTCATTGTTTACCCCAGGCGGCGACCGACATCGGCGACGTGTGTCGCGAACGCGGTGTGCGTTGGCGCGTCCGCCAGTAGTTCGCCCAGCCAGTAGTTTGCCCAGCGAGGGGGAGGTGCGCCAGTAGTTGGCCCAGCGAGGGGTAGTGGAGGATCATTATTTAGAGTCCCCGCCCCCTCGCCCACGTCCTCCTGCGGTTTCACCGTGGTGTCTAGTGGTGCCCCGTCGTTCCATCGTCGACGCTGAAGGATAAGTTTACGTTGAAAGTTTGAGCGCAACCACGGACTACACTATTGATCAGGTGTTCAAGTTGAGGCGACAGCTGAGCCCAGCGATGTTGAAATCACACCGACATCGCCAGCCTACATTGTAGTCTAAGCGAACATTTAGCTGTAGCCGAATCTCACTTCACGCGAATATTGCATCAACCGCTAGATCCACCGACAGAGGTAATGTACACCGTGACCGAAATGGGAAGCTAGAGCGTCCCTGGAATTGAAGTGTGGCCAACGCAAAAGTGAAGTCTGAGACCGCATTTGGCGATCAAGCGAGAGCCATTAGTGGGTTGAGGCTGCACTGTTCCAGACCAAACTGGCATCGTAGACGTAGAACTGAAGTACCTCACGTGCCAGCTAAGCTAAGCAATGCGACAAGTAACGAAGGCAAGACGTGAATCTAGAAGTCTTACCCAACGAAGGCCAGGTAACGAAAGCCAGTAGCGAACGCAAGCTGAATGTACAAGCCTCGCAGAGCGAATGTATAGGTAAAATCGCCCGTCATATCCATGATCAGACTGGTTCATGAATTTGACTGAAAACGAGTGCCGACGCAAAACCCCTATCCCCGAGCGAATGCTAAGCCAAACGTTGCACTCATTCAACCCCCTTTCCCTACACACTTTTTTGGTCTACGGGGCGAGAGCAAACCTCTTTCGATAAAAGCTAGGCGGGCTACGCACAGCTCTAATTGGTGAGACAGGGCACAGGCGGGTGGGGCCTCAGGCGGCCGGAGAGGGCGGAGCCCGGGGTGCAGGCGGTGCCGAGGAGCTCGCACAGGAAAAGGAACGCCGTGGACAGGAGCCGGAGGCGAAGATCTGGAGGGTGAGCGATGTGGTGTTTCCCCTTCCCCTACACACCAATCCCCGTGTCGGCCGAAAACCAGTCTATTCTGCATGTGTGAGTACTTTTGTTCCTTGCTAGGCCGTCGCAGTTTAGGAACGGCGTAAGGCAACGAACAGCGGTCCACAAGCATGAGTTCCGCTCTACAGCAAATATTGCACCCTCAATTCAGTGGAATATCATACGATCGCATGCAAAATGTTGCTTTCGCATTCTCCTCATCTTATTTCCTTATCCCTCATTCCTTCCGTGCGGGCCACGTAGTCGCGGACGATCTTCCCTGACGAGCGCGCAGCGTTTCGTTCGCAATGGTAGCGTTGGCGGTCTCACGCGATCAACCTAGGGCCATCCCATTCTTCTTCTCCATGCTCCTACCAGGTCCTGGTGGCTGGCGGGCGCAGGCTTCCACCGTCACAGACGGATTGTTTGGCTTAGTTTTGGTCACGAAAATGACCCGTAGGCTCGGTACTACCTTGCTGCGTTTGTGGCCAACCGGCACGATCTTTGTCAGTGTGAGTATCCTATCGCAGCGCAGTGCTCAATTGTGTTGCAAATTATCTCGCGAACGTAGCTCTCGACACTGCAAGGTCGTACATCTCGCGTGCTGAAGCAGACGTTGGAGATTGCTTAAATATTCAGCTACATACCGATGGGGGCGTGCGTGCCGGCCAGGGGCCATAGGGTGGTTATAGTTACGGTCGATGCCCAAGACGATGGCCAGCCCCATTTCCGTCGAATTTCGTTCGGTTTGCATTATTTGGTGCTATGGGCATCCCAGCTATCGCGCTTGAGACGGGGCTCGCGGAAATGACAAATTACCTGTGCGGCCTCGTGCAATGTTTCACACATCCACTAGCATTCATTCACATCCAGCATTTCCCATTGGCGCTGCAAAAACTGCCTGCTTCCCGAGAGGTACAGGGGACGCCAGGGCCTAACCGTATTCATCATCATCCGCCAGTGCGGGAAGACATATTGTTCAATCATCAGCCTTAGGCGGGCTCGTCTTAGCAGGCGACCGATACAATCCAAGCACAGACCTCCGGGGTGCATTTCCCAGGGCGCGCCCGCGCCGCTTGTGACTAGCAGTGCTCATGTGCTCGTCGGTCCACGGCGAATGTTTTCAAACCCCAAAACACGGCATGTATCGATAACCATCTGCATGTTGTCTTCCGTCTGCGACCAGAGGGGTTGGAACAGATGGGGTCGGATGATCGCGCCGCATCGCCGATGCACAGGCGATGCGGCTCGATGTCGAGCCCGATCTTCTCCACGCCGACGTCGCCGATGCATCGCCGAAGTCGCCGATGCATCGACGATGCGGCGCGATCCTCCGACCCCATCTGCTCCGACCCCGTCTTCGAGGCCTCTGCTTCCGTCTCCCTCTCCCTCTCCTTCCCGTCGCTCGCTGTGTTGGTGGGGGGCGCTTCCGCCGCCCAGCCGAGTTCGGTCAGGAGAAGAAGATGCACAAACGCCCAGAAACGCTAATGCTCTTGAAAATACGGTAAAAGTTTGGGAAATCCGGAGGCCGGTGCAGAAGCAGGATAACAATCATAGGTAGGGCCAGTCTCCGGGCTGTTCTGAAGGAGGAGGACGAGGAGGGGGAGGCGGAGAGGGAGGAGGAGGAGGAGGAGGAGGAGGAGGAGGAGGAGGAAAGAGGAGGAGGAGGAAAGAGAAGGAGGAGAATGAGGAGGAGGAGGAGGAGGCATGTGTGTGTGTGTCCACCCTTGGCCCGTTGATTTATGGAGCCCGCTGCCGCAGCCTCCTCGATGCCGTGTGGCAACTTGGTGTGCCGATTGGAGGGAGCAAGCTGGCTCTAGGCGCAAGTCGGGCGTGTCCCTCTACAGGAGGAGTATCCAAAAATAGTCAGAACATAGTCAGGGGACGTTTTCCAGTTTTTTTTTGACAATTTTGATTATTGTTTAATTATGTTTTATCTCTCGTCCAGAATCCGCCTGTCGGGGGACATGCCCGACCTAACTCTAGGTCCCCTAGTAGATGGGATTGGAGGACCACGCCGCATTGCCGATGCATCTACGACGCCTCTCGATGTGCAGCCCGATTGTCTCAACGTCGACGGCGCCAATGGGAAAGAGCAAGCTAGCCTCAGGACCGCGAATTGGATACGAGCAGATGGGCTAGGATGCAACCCCTGGGAGATGAAAGTTTGAGTCGTCGCTGGCATAAACCTGGTCGCCAACCAGCCTGGCCTTCTTTATTCCAACACATTCTGGATTGATCCCGCTTGATCCAGC